TCACGAAATTTTCCAAAAAAAAAGAGAAAAAAACCATAACAATTCGTTCCAGATTCTGGATTTTTTTTCCGGCGTGTGTATGTTTAAAAATCTCACTCGAAAATTTATTTTAAACTCTTACGTTGTTAATTATCATTATTATTATTATTATTATTTTACAACAACAACAATTCTCTCGGGATGAGCCATAGAGTAGAGTTTTTTTTTTCGTCCATAAAAAGAATTTTTTTTTTTTTCGACGAGTCGTAAGTAGGTGTGTTGTTTGTTGCGAACGTTAATTTTTATTTTATTACTGATAGGTTTTATTATTATTATTATTATCATCATCATCATCATCATCATCATTATTATTCGCGGTTGCTTCCAGGTTTTTTTTTTTTTTATTTCCAGCTTTGTTTCCGCCGCCGGTTAATTTTTTTTTTTTTTTCGATTTCATTCTACCGGGGATGCGAATTAATTTTTTTTTTTAATTTCAATTTTCGAGCGATCGATTCGATCGATATTTTGAACGGTTTTTTTTCGGGGAGGGGGGGGGCTTTGATGAAATCAACGAATGTTACTATTATTATTATAACGTTTCACTTTTGAACGTGACGAAATTCCGGGTGTTTGTCGTAGTTTTTTAAAACTATTCGATTCCTTTTAAAATAAGTTCTTGAATGTCGGTTATCATTATTATTATTATTATTTTATTATTATTATTATTATTATTATTATTATTATTATTATTATTAATTATTTAAAATGTCCGTTTTGTTCGTTAACAAATTAAAAAAAAAAAAAAGTAAAGAAAATTAATAGTGATGATGATGATGATTAAAACGATTTTGTTTGTTTGTTTGTTTTTCGAACTTGCATTCCGACCAACGCAATTACGCAACAATTTTAAATGCACAACCGTTTCCGGTTTAAAAACATTGCGAAATTCAATACGAAACGCGAGACATTGTTTTCTAGAAAATAAATACTAAGCAGACGAAATGAAAAAAAAAAAAAAAAAAAAAAAAAAAAGGAATTATGTAAATAAATTCAAATTTTTTTTTTTTTTATCGTAACTTGATTTACCATAATTCCCGCCTTTTTCCTCCCCCTCACCTTCCTTTTTTTCTTTCCCTTCCCATCCTCCCTCCCCTCCTTTGCAAAATCCAATTTTCAGAATTTAAAATACAAACGAAACCGTTAAAAATTTACTACAAACGAGGAGTTGATGCGCGGATTGTTGTCGGTCGGTTGTTGGTCGCCTGTTTTTCTTTTTTTGGGGGGTTTGTTTGATAAGAGATATCAAATCGTTTTTTATCAGGGTTGTTACGGTAAAATGAATGCAATGCGAAACGTATTGTTTGTTACTTTAATCTTTTGCCAAACCTGAGCCCAATGAAAAAGACGTTGAACAAAAGAAGAAGAAGAAGATGATGATGATGAAGAAGATTTTTTGTCGTGGCCTTAGATAAGAAATCTTTTGGTTCAACGAGTGGTGATAACGTTTGTTTGTTAAACGTCTTTAAATTCAAATTGTCACGGTTTTTATTCCAGGTACAAAAAACAAAAAAAAAAATTTTTTTTTTTAATTATAAATAAACGTGTCTTTTCGAAACGTCGTGCCTTTAGAATTAATTATTCATTTTTAATATTTTACGCGAATAGAAAAAAAGAATTTGTTCGTTTTTTTTTTTTTTGCCAATTCAGTTACGCTCTTCATTATTATTATTATTATTATTTTATTTAAAGAAAGTCATGAATGTTGATTATTTTTAATTTGTATTCTATATGTTTGTTGACAAAAAAATTTTTCGTTTGTTTGTTTGTTTGTTGTCTTCGTCTTCTTTCGTTATTGTTTTTCGATTGAATTTTTCGTTATTTTTTTTTTTTTTTTCAATTAATTTTTCGTATGACGTTCGCATGAGAGTACTTAAAAACAAATAATAATAATAATAATAATAATAAAAAGAAAAAACGAAAAATGAATGAAAAACGTGGGGGGTTTTTTAGGGGGAGGGGAGTTAAGTTAAAATTTCGTTTGTTTTTCAAATATTCACGTGTACAATTTTCAAATTAAAATTTTTTTTTTTTTTTTTACGTAATTTTTTAGAAAAGAAAGAAAAAAAGAAAACGAAATAATTACAAAGGAAGTTTAAATAATGATAATAATAATAATAAATTTTTTTCTTAACCGAATATAAAGTATCCGGTTTTTCGAAGGACGAAGAATTTATTATTATTATTATTATTAATATCGTGTGCAACAAAATGGCGGATGCATTCGATTCGGATTTAAAATTTTCTTTCTTTTTATTATTATTAAATTCACATTTAAATGACCTAATTTATCGATGAATGCGAATTTATTATTATCATCATCGTCATCATCATAATCATCATAATCATCATCATCATCATCATCATCATTATTATTATTAATCGAAATTTTTTTTTTTTTAAAAATCCATTCGGTGAATTATACAGAAAAAGATTTTTTTTCTTCTTCTCATTCATATGAATGTACGTTATAATTAAATTTCCATTTCCATTTTCCACGCAACATTTCTCGTTAATTATTCGTTCTTAATAATAATAATAATAGCAATAACGATAATAATAATAATAATAATAATAGTAATAATAATAATAATAATAATGATAATGAATGGTTGAAAATCGTTTAATTGATACCGTTCATTCGAATGTTTAAAACAAAGACAAAGGTTGTTGTTGTTGTTGTTTGTAGGCACAAATAACACGAACGATTTGAATTTAATATTTATTAATAATAATAATAATAATAATAAATAATAAATAATAATAATGATAATTATAATAATAATGAATTATTATTTAATTAAAATTCTTTCGAACAATTTTTTTTTTTTTTTTTTTTTTTGAAAATGAATAACGGCAGGTATTATTTATAATTAAAAATTATTATCGATTATTTTTTTTTTTTTCTTGGGGGGCAAAATGATAATGATAATACATTTTGTAATAAATTGTTACTGCGTTTCAATGATAAATAGCAAACGCAAAAAAAATTTAATTATATTTAATTAATAATAATTATTTTTATTATTGTTATTGTAACGGAAAATTATGTTTTTTTTTGTTGTTGTTGTGTTTGTGTTGTTTTGTGTTATTAAAACTTGACAAACTTGTTTTCATTATTATTATTATTATTATCATTATTATTATGACAATTAAAACGTTTATCAATTTGCCACTGTTTTTTTTGTCTCCCACATTTTACATAAAACAAAAAAAAGAAAGAAAAAAAAATTTTTCCATACGTGCGTCCTTGTATATATTACATGCGTACGTACGTTTATGCGTGCGTGCGTGCGTACGTGTAAAAGTAAAAAAAAAATGGAGACGTAACTTTCTATCAAGTGAAAGTATTAATAATAATAATAATAATAATAATAAACTTTGGAATTTTTTTTTTTTTTATTTCGTTGGTTTTGTTCAGGCTTCGTTTCACAAAAAAAAAAAAAAAGTACTTGTACCCATACTCATTCCTACGAAACTATCAAAAAAAAAAAAAAAAATCACGATAATGATAATAATAATAATAACGAAATAAAAAGTATATAATTGAAAATGACAGTGATTCGATAAATAAATTTGAAAAAAAAAAAAAAATAAATAAAAATGGCGGCATTCTCGCGTAGGTGCGAATGATTTTAATGAAAATTTATTATTTTTTTTCCCCCTTATGACTAATAGTATAGGAAAAAGAAAAAAAGTTCATTCAAAATCAGGCGCACGTTTGTTTTTTTCATCGTATTGTTCTTCTTCCCCTTCTCCTCCCTCCTCCTCCTCTGTAAGATTACCCTTTCGCTTTCGTCTATTATTATTATCACATTTTTTTTTGGAAATTATCATTTTTCTTATCGTATGTAAACAAAAACATGTTTAAATAAGGTACCCATATACCCGTGTGTGCGTGTGCGCGTGTGCGTGTGCGTTTAAATGATAAATATGTTGTTGGCTTTTTCGTAAATAATTTTTCATCATGCTGATACATAACCTTATGTTTTATTATATTTGACGTGGGAGAAAAACATAACGCACACGCAAACGGAGTAAAAAAAAAAAAAAAAAAAAACCGTCTGTCTAAGTTTTTTTTTTTTCTCGAATCGAATCGAATCGAGTCGATTTAATCGATTTAGTAGAATAGAATTTTATTTAAATTAAAATTTTAATATTACGTAGGCGTCGTTTCAAAAAAAAAAAAAAAAAAAAACATTTTTAGTCGTCGACACTTTTGAATATTTAAAAAAAAAATTCCAAGGTTGAATGCATATCTGTATAGACAACGAACACGCGAGAAAATATTCGTAATGATATCGATCGATATATCGATCAATCGATCGATGGATCGATGGGTCAAAAACTCACGTTTTTTTTTTAAATTTCCATACGTTAAACGAATTTTTTTTTGAACGAAATGAAAGAGGAAGGAAGGAAGGAAGGAAGGAAGTTGTTTGTTGTTGTTGTTGTTGTTGTGAAAACAAAATAAATGTGGGGAGGGGGGGTTCATGGATGTGGATAAACAAACAAACTTACAACTTTTTTGTTTTCTCGGTCGTGTGAAAGAAAAATAAATTGTTTTCACGTTTAACCGACTTTTATTATTCGGGATTTTATGTTTATTTACAACAAAATAAATAAATAAATAAAAAGCTCATCATCGTAGTAAACACAAATTCACACATTTTTTTTTTTTTTATTATAAAAATCACGAATTTATTTATTTATTTTACTTTTTAATTAAATGTAAAGTTCCACTATTATTATTATTATTATTATTATTATTATTATTATTACTAATTAAAATTGAAATGAAATTCAAATTTTATTAAAAAATATGAATGTTTATAACATGAACGCAATCGTCCGATACGTGCGATTAAGGAAAAAACGGAAAAATGTCGATGACGTAGATGATGACGTAGACGATGACGTGTAATTAATTAATTAATTAATTATAATTTCAGGTGCTCACTCCGATGACGGACTACGAAAAAATAAAACGATCTTGTTTAAAAAGAGGAGAATTATGGGAGGATCCAGATTTTCCAGCCACTCAATCATCAGTTTTCTATCATCAAACTCCTCCGTTTCAATTTACGTGGAAAAGACCGAAGGTGAGTTTTTAAAATTTCACATTTTCCCCTCCCCCTCTCCCACCCGCCATTTTTGGTTGTTGTTGTTGTTGTTGTTTTGAAACAAATCGATTGTTTTCTTATACGATTAATTGTCATGAAAAGAAAGAAGGAAAGAAAGAAAGAAAGGAACGAAAGTTTCACATATTGTGTAAAATTCGATTGAACGTTTAAAAAATCGTTTATTGTGATTGAAAAAAAAAAGAAAAAAGAAGTGATAATATGATGATAATGATAATGATGATGATGATGATGATGATGATTTTTATATTTAAGTACGGATTAACGTGCGAAAAATATTAAACGTTTTTTTTTTGTATAAACGGTTGTGCGGTTTATATAAATAAATTAATCGAAATTTCTTTTTTTTTCCATGAATGGAACTCCATGGAGAGAGAGAGAATTCCATGGATGGAATTCCAGCAAACGATTTCGGTGGTGGTTTCGAATTTAATAATTTTTTTTTTTTTTACCGCATTTTTATACTTTTTCTCGATTTCGGGATTAAAAAACATTTCTCCGAATCGCGAATAAATGAAAAACTTTAGATTTATAAAAATTATTATTATTATTATTTTCTTTACGTTTTACACCTACGTAAGGTTCTGAACGCGCTTTTACTCTCTCTCTCTCTCTATTGTTTGTATGACAAAAAATGGTAAAATGACGAAATGTTGTTCATCGTTTCGCGTTTGTTTTACTTTCAATCAAAAAATTATTATTATTATTACTTTTTGTTTGTTCTTCTTCTCTCGTCATTGAATTTTTAAATCGATACGATTATGTAATATACGTGACGATGATGATGATGATGATGATGATGATGATGATGCGTGAAGGTTAATGCGCTCGTGGGGAGTTTTAACAAGCCCACATCCCTTTTCTATTTAACCCGTTTGTCTCTTTTTTATTCTTTTTTTTGTCACGTTTTGTAATT